TTTTATTTTTCAGGAGGTGGGAAGGGTTCACCATTGCCCAGGCTGGCATTCTCCTGCCTCAGCCTCCAGAATAGCTGGGATTATGGGCATGTGCCACCATGCCCAGCTAGTCCTTTGGTTTTACATAGTGCTGATTGCCCAGGGCTGGCACTGATGATCCCTTGAACTTCCTAAGTGATCATGTAAATCAAGCACATCTACAAAGACAGTATTAAGAGTCTTGATCATGTTTTACCTGGTGTCTCACCTGACCCTCCTTGCATGGGCATTATTCACCGACTGTTCAGGCTTATTGGTTCTTCCAGATAGTCGGTTTGCCTGCAGCATCTGCCCACCAAGTCTGCCCAGCACTGCATTGGCTGTCATTGTGAAGTGTGAAATAAAATATGACTCTCCCGTGTGTCGGCAATAAAGCCCAGCTGCTTAGCATGGAAGACAGCTCCAGCCCACTTACCTCAGTTTACCCTCCAGGAAGTTCAACTCCTAGCTTATGACAGGATCTCAGTAAATACTAGATGAATGAATAGACAAGTTGATGAAATAGATGTCAGAATAATCCAATTAATGTTGGGAGAAAAGAGTCTGGGAAAAATAGCACTGTAAGTTTACACTCACTTCCTTATTGTCAACCTGATATACATTAAAACTTTAATCTTTTCCTCTTCGTTTTAAAAGCTCCTGTATTTTGGTACCCTAATATACCCCAGCTGCTAATACTGAAATGAAGAGTTGCACCATTCAAATCAGATCACAGAAATGTACTTTTCGTAAACTAATTTTAATGGTATGTTTTTGGAACCACTAATGATACACTCAGCTTGGCAGCATTAACCAAGCTGACTTGTGACAAATTGTGGAAGTGACAGAGTCACCTAGATAACTCCTTCCCCAAAGTAGTAAAACAGTGTGCTCTGGAGGCTGAGACTCCCACGGGGTCATGATGATGGAAGGGGTGCAGCTTTCAGCGTGAAATACCCAAACTTTCAGAAATAACATTTCATGTACTCATTCTCTCTCTCAGTGAAACAAAACAGTTTCTCTTTTGTTTAATTGTATCAGTAGATCCGTTTTGGATTTTTATTCTTGTCTTACTTGTAAGGGTCCTGCGATTTCACCAAGCCCTTGCCTTGACCTCTCACGTATTTTTAGTTTAATTTTCCTTCTTTTGAAAAGCTTTTGTTAGTCCTTGTTTGCAGTACATTATTACACTCATCGTGGGGAGTTGGTCCATGCACATGGTGCCAGATCCCGTGAACCTGCCTTTCCATTAGACAGTGCTCAGCGGCTGCATTCACCTGCTTTTTATCACAACCCATAAAAACTCTTAGGGAAGAGGACTTCAGAACTGCTTGAGAAATGGCTAGAACTTGGGATAAGTATGTTTAAAATGAAGGGGATCAGTGACAACATACCTTATCATTAAAATGACTGTCGTAACTTTTAAAAATTAAATATTCTCTGTATTTTCAGTCACCCTTTGCACATACAGGGGCAGACGTAAACAGCAAAGACATTCTTCCACTGTGAAACTTCGTTGGCCTGTTTTGTACAGAGATTTTTTTTTTTGGTCCAGAGGCAGCCTGGAGCCTAGGACCAAAGCAGGCCAGGTGGCTTCTTCCAACCGTAATCTCCACACCCTCCGATCTCAAATTACCCCAATATTGTCACAGAAATATTGATTGAGACAACACCATAGCGGACAAGAAAACAAAACTAGAGCCAAAGAACCAGAACTCTGCCAGTGGTTGCTTCCCCAACAGAGGCCTTTGGAGAACTAAGTCAGGCAAATCTCACTAGCTATATAGAAAGAGGCAAGTTCATAAAGGAAGGTGAGCAGCAGAGAGAGATGGGTACGACTTCTCCAGTCTCTTGAATATAAATGATTAACTACCCCTCTGCCTAGTGTGCTCCTACAGTGAAAGGTCTTACACTCACAATATTTAGCCACGTGACTTTTTTTACCCCCTTGAGGACAAAGAGAAGAGGATGGAGAAACAGGAAAGAAGTCTCCTACTTTTTGTCCTTTCTGATAGGACCAGGGGTCTTCACACCTTAAGGAATAGCACTCATAACCAAACTAGCATGATTGCAGAGCCTGTGCATGTTAATTAGGGAAAATCAGTAGACACAGAAAACAAAAACCTCACTTCATGTTTACCAGGATCTGGTCCATCTGGCCCAAGTGTCTAAAATCTCCCACTTCTTATCATCAAATTTATTTTGGAAAATTCCAGTGGCAACATTAATTGCTTCCACCCTCCTGGAAAAGAGCTATTGGGACTGTTTATTTCCTCTTAAGGAAAAGGGCATCCAAAACCTCATCCTGTGAGCTGTGCTTGAAGCAAACCTTGAGTCTTGCATTCCCCTGAGGCCCTCGTGCCTGCCCTGTGCCAGAAGCTTAGTTTCTTGGGGAAAGACCATCCTTTCCTCCTGGTTTCTCCCTGGTTAACCTTTCTTCACCAGGAGAGCTCAGCTCAGCTTCCCTTTCCTAGGCTGGCGCTTCTTCCCCGTCCTGTGCCTTAGTGGTGTCTGTGGGTCCATCAGTGCCCTCATGCAGCCACGTGTTCACACCTCACTGCGAGGACCTGGCTGCTCTGTGGTCCGAGTCCAGCCTCTGTGTGCAGAACAGAAGGTAGCGCGTGGTGGGTGCCGTTCAGGGAATCATCGGAAACCCGCTCCAGCTGCTGTCCATGATGGCCAGGGTCTCTGCTGATCTTTTAAAAATCTTTCTTACTTTCTTGGTGATCTGCATTTGATTTGCATTCTTGGGGTTATTAATGCTGTTGGCATCTTTTCAATTTAATGATGTGGCTAGCCACTTCTATTAAAAAATAGGCATTCAAGTTTCTTACTTGTTTTTCTGTTTTTTCTGTTGTTGATTGTTAAGATTTTCATACTTTTTAAAACAAGCCGTTTATTGATTATGTATTTCAAATATCTCTCAGTGTATGGCTCATATTTTCAGTCTCTGTGTATTTCAGTAAAAAAGCTTTTTATTATTCACAACAGTCCAATTTATGAACTTTTTTCTTTTATGGTTAGAGTTTTTAGGTCCTATTTAAGAAATCCTGTTCACCCTAAGATCCAGAAGCTATTTCCTTATATTTCATCTTCTAGATCTGTATCATTTCACCTTGTACATTTGGATTTTTAAAAGCATTGGAAAAAGACTGAATTTGAATCTGGACAGCATTTCAAAGACAAAATTGGCAGGCAGTGGTTGATGGAGACTTCACAAGGCAGGGTTAGAGAAAATACTGCTAAGACTAAGGCTTCTAGCTCAGAGAGTTAGAGAAGGTGAATTGCTACTTTAAAAATAAGCAAATGAAAAAGACAGGAGTTCGATTTTAGGTTCAAAAGATGCCGAGATTAATTTTTGGCCTTGCTAAGTCCCAGGTACATAAAAAAAAGTTCCAAACAGAGCTTTCCATTGCAGTTTGTTGCATAGAGATTTGAAAATTCAGCACTGAGGGGCTGTTGAAAGTCAGTGTTGAAGATTTAGATCTGGAGTCCATCCACACAGGAGAGTAGCTGAAATTAAGTGGGGGGGGGGGGGGGGACGCACTGTGAGAACGGAAACCAAGAGAGGGGGCGATGTGTGGGCTGAGCCCTGGGAAATATCTCTGCTTGGGTTTGGAGAAGGAAAAACATGGGTGAGCAAGGGAAACAGCAACAAAATAAAAACACAAGAAGATGAAGGAAAACCACAACCACACAGAGTTGTGAAAACTGAGTCACTACGTGGCTCAAGTGTGTTGAGTTTGTGCTGCACATTTTATTTTATTTTATTTTATTTAGTCTTCACAATAAGTCAAGGAGGTCGCGTTTCTGAGTCTCTGCTGATAAATGAGGGCAAAGAGACTTAGCAGAGTGCAGCCATCTGCCCACCACTCAGCTGATAAATCCTGCGCAAAAGTTGCAAAAATTGTAGTTCTCATCTCTCAGCCTCCCTAGTGTTTTCTAATTAGCTATCTCCAGAGAACACAAGGAAACCAAGAAAATACTTACAATTATGACTTTACCTCATTTTAAAAATGTTTCATAATGTGAATTCTATGCTAGCATGGCAATACGTACATATCACATATATGTATCACCTATGAGTAACAAGAACATGTTTATTGGGGTATATGCCCCAGAGTTTACTAGTGTAAAGATGCAATTTGAAAATTTCAGAGCTGATTGCTTCAGGCCCCCATGACAGATTGCCTTTCTTCTGTGTCTCATGCTCTACAATAAATGCCATTTCCTGCATGTGTCTGGTCACCTTTTTAGTGCAACCCTAGTTCTAAAGTAATTCAATAAAAGCTGTTTATTCCGTGTGATCTTCTCAGGTCATTCCACGATATTTGTAGAATTTCATGAAGGCCTTTGGGCTTCCTGGCGCTCTGTGACAGTAGAAGGAACAGAGACCATACACTAAACAGACTTGGGTTCAAATAGCGACTTCTACCTTCCTGACCTTGTGATCAGATGAGAATGTAATTTCTCAGAGCCACTGTGTGCTCTTCCGTAAAATGGAAAGAAGTTCTGGAAGAACTTGCAGTTTGTTATAAAGTCCAGCACAATTAAAAGGAGATGGTTTGGTGCTGGGCATGGCCTATAGGGGACGATTTTTCAGTGACCATAGATGGCAGGAACGAAAGTGTATGTTTGCCACAGAAAGCATCTGTGACCCAGTGTCAGCTGCCCTCCCAAGCCAAACCAGGTTGCATAGGTTTCTAGCAAAGTTCGGCCTGTATCATTCTTAATTCAACCTGGAAATGTGTATGAGCAGAGACCAGAAAGTCTCCCGAGGCTTGGAGGAGCCCACACTCACAGAACTTTGATGGTAGAGGCCAACCCTGGGCCTCGTGCTGAATGGCAGGAGGCCCAGGAGATGTACTGGCCACAACTAGAAGGCCAGATCTGTGACAGCGTCAGCAGAAGCAGGGTCCAGTGTGACATTCCTCCCTGGGCCCTGCAGGATGTTGACGCCTCTGCATGTCTGATGCCCACAGATCTGTACCCCCGACTTGGTGGTCTTCCTGACCTGCGCCAACCAGAGGCTGAAGGAGCGGCTGCTGAAGAGGGCCGAGCAGCAGGGGCGGCCCGACGATAACCTGAAGGCCACACAGAGAAGACTCGTCAACTTCAAGCAGAATGCCGGGCCCCTGGTTAAATACTTCCAGGAAAAGGGGCTCATCATGACCGTAAGTCAGCCCCACTCTCACACCCTGGGACCAGGACAACCAGGCTGACTTCTCATTGGCCTGTGTTCACATTTAGCAGTCCTGTTTATTTTTGTTTTTATGTTTATTTTTATTTTTTAAGTCCTGTTTACTTTAAAAAGTGGCTTGGGGAGGAGGCAAGGGATGTAAAACCAATAAAAAAAATAATCATTTTGACCTGATGAAGCTTTGTGTAGCTTTAACAGAAAAAAAAAATTCCTTTTGCTTTAGTTTTGTTGGTTTTTGGGAAAAAAATGATAAATTTTGGCCCTGTCTAAAATTCTACAGCTCTTAGGTGTTTTTTTTTTTGTTTTTTTTTTTTAAAGTAATTTTACTGGGGATACAGCTGAGCGGCAAGTGCCTTCCTGGCAAGCGTAAGGTCCTGAGTTTAATTTCCGGTACTAAAAAACAAACAAAAAAAGTAGTTTGAAGCAACTAGTCAGGTAATTTTAAGCTGAGTTTGTAAATTTTCTGTCTTTGAAAATCTTCCAAATGTGGTAGCTGAGTGACAGCTGGTGTGGTGTTCTAGTAGTTTTAAATTCTAAAGGGGCCTCGACTTCCTAGAAGCTCCTGGCTACAGAAATGAGATCCAGAAACTTTCTCAGGGTTTGATGTGTCCTAAACGAATATGGAATGGGAGGCATGAATCTTTCTGCTAGTTTGATACAATGCAAATAGTAAGAGACACCATGCAAATACGAACACTTTCCTAAATGGCTAGTTTGCTTTGCGGCCAGTGGTATTTAACACCCTGAGGAAGGATGGTGCTGAATCATTCCTTAAGGCTGTTTTTAGAATTGTAAACATTAGAGGTAAAGGCTCACCTCAATCCATGGTGCCCCACAATGTCAGATTCAACCGTTAAATCACAGGGAGACGGAAGAGGATAATTGGCCATCCGAAGAAAACCCTTTGTGCGAGGGACAGTAAATCCATGGCAGCTGAGGGCAGCTGGTGACAGCAGGCCCTGCACAGCCCTCCTGGTGGCCTGGTGGAACCACACACCCCCGCAGGGATGTACAATAGATGTCTTTCCCAAATACTAGGCAAATCCACTGCACTCCTATGACCTCAGAATTCCTGGGCTCAGCCTCTCAGAATTAAACCACGACACTATTGGACCCAAAAGTGCTGGTAGTGCCACATGACTGATCTCTTTCAGGCGTTTTTTATCATTGCAATTTGTTCTGAGACCCAATTGTCATGTCTGAGTGTTGCAAATCAGATCTGAAAACTGTCTGTGATGGCAGAGTTCATTTTTTTTTTTTGGTTTAAAACAGATGTCAAATAATAAGAAAGACCCGGGGAAATCAGGGTGATTGTGCTCGTGGGTATCTTTTGTTGGGCTCGTTGTGTATTTTCCCCTCACCGATTACCAGCGCGGACTTCTGTCTTCTGTCATGAAAAGAGGAAATTGACCCTGCAGACCAAAGCTCAACCTGGAGGTGCAGAGCAGGAGTTTTAATTGATGTTTGCAGGGCCAGACAGAATTAGCAGTGTTTCTGATTACTCCCTGCTTGGCACGACCGTCATTGCGAGCAGCGCAGATTTGCCAAATGAATGCAGAGGGAGGACTGTTAATTTTCTAATATTTTGCATGGAGGTGAGACGCCACTGCCTCTAATTGAGGGAGCCGAGAAGGATGCGGCCGACAGCCCATGACCTCACTGCGAGAACCAAAATGAGCTTTAAGACAAACGCCTCTAATTATGGGGAAGAAATTCACCTTGGAGAGTCACCGTGTGAAAAATCAGCGAGCACAGCCGAGCTCTGGGGGTTACAGCAGGAAAGTGCGATCTGACAAAGAGACAAGTGTTGCATCCTGAACGCAGGCTCCCTTTCAGAACCTGCAGCTTGGTCGCTGTGGGAACTGAAATATCCTCAACGGCGTTACCGCCTTTAAGCATGAGTTCAATGATTTCAAGAAATCGTACTTATTACTCACAAGCACATTAAGATTTTAATAAATGTTAGTCCTTAATAGACCAAAATCAAGTATTTGCTTTTTTCTGTACCCTCCCTGCACCACTTTAGTAGCAGGCTACTACTAAGTACCTGCTACTGCTAATTAATTCACTTACTCCTTTAATAAATATTAACTGAGAACCAGGATACCTTGCTACATGCCGGAGCGCAGAGCAAACTCAGCAGAGAGTAAGGGTCTTGCTTTCACTCACTGCTGTAGTCCGGGCTCCGTGGCAAGCGGCTAGGAAATGGAGGGGTTGTGTGTGAAGCGGTCTGTGGCTGAGTGTGCTGGCAGCAGCACTGAGTAGGAAGTGTCAGAAGTGCCCTCCACATGTCACCACCAGCCTCTCGCCCACGAAGGGCCCATCATCTGTCTCAGCAGCTCTTCTGAAAGGCCACAGCGACTGTGCGTTTCCATAGTCTAGTTGAGAAAATTCCTCATGGTCCTTGTCTTCTTTTAGGTTTCTCCTTTACTCTCTTCCTCCCCCTCCATCTCTTGGTCCTTCCCATTTGCAAAAGATCTATTTCCATGTTTCTAGTGAGCTATCTTTTATTTTAGTCTTTCATGTACTTATACTTGGGGTTCATCATATAAGAGAAACCATGCAATATTTAAGCTTGTGTGTCTGATTTGTTTTGTGTAACACTGTGGTTTCACGGTGTATCCATTTTCCTACAGTAACTCAAGCTTATCTTCCTTTATGGCAGAGAGGTGCTCCATGGCGTGGAAATGCCAGTTTTCCTTTATCCACTCATCTGGTGATGATATAGAGGCTGCTTCCAAGATTTAGCTGTTCTAACCCACGCTGCTATAAACATGGTGTGCATGGATCACTTTAGTAGGAATCTACTGCCATGTAATTATTACAGTGTCCTCATGACCTAGCTGCAGATTGGATGCTGCCTGTCTCATAATGGTGTGCAGGGGAAATGAAAAGATGTGTCACCCAGTAGTGGGTGACAAGGTAGAGAGTATTTAAGAGGCACCATGCAATCTGGTTCACACTTTGGCAAGGCCACCCATCCCCTGGGTGACCCAGCTTCTCCATGACTCTTGTGCATTCCCTTATAAAACATGTATAACACATCAGTAACCCCAGCACTTTGGAGGCTGAGGCAGGAGGATTGCAAGTTCAAGGCCAGCATAGCAAGACCCTGTCTCAAACACACTCACACACACACACACACACACACACACACACACACACACACACACACACATGCATGCACACATGAAAGCAAGTTTAATCATCAACCCTTAACCAAGTGTGAATTTTAACAGTCAGGTGCTTCGAATGGTGCTTGGCCCGATGTAAAGGTGAAGGACACGACTGACCCTGCTTTATAACTGCTGTATTTCCTCATCTCTGTTCCTTCCCCTCCATTTCTGATCTCTTGGAGCCTACAGTTACTGCTTACAGTTCTCTGTTATTTGAGGGAATTCTGTTGCCTTTTTTCCAATAGACAGGTTACGAAAGAAAAACAAAGTCACTAATTTAGGGTTTTAAAACTTCATGCTGAATTAATTTTTCTTTGTAAGTGTCTGTTAAGTGGGTACAAAGTGGGTTTTATGTTGTTGTTGTTGTTTGAAAATCAGTATTTCCATGTAATCCAGTTACACCACGGCTGTGTCCAGATGGAGAAGTGGGAGTATAGCAGAGGCTCATTATTCTGTTTCCTTTTGTGCCTCATCACTGACTGTGGCAGATTTGACTAAAGAACAAACTCAGGGTGAGCAAAGAGAAAAATCTAATAATAATAATAACTGAAAAATTATGCTGTTGCCTGCATATATTATTGGCATAGTTACCATCTTTATTTTTATTATTTTACAGTTTTTTTGTGTATACCCATGTACATGATGAACTTAAATGATACAAAATCATAAAGTAGTATGGACTTCTGTCTAATATACACAGAGTAAATTAGCACTCTGGGGGCTTCTTCGTAGAACCTTCTCTGATGTGTTTGCATGTTGTTTTTAACGAACTATATAGCTTGGAGGTAATTTCTCATCATGCCTTATAACTGCATGCTGTGAGTTCCCAGTGTTTGTCACATGCCTTTTTTTGTGGGAGTTTCAGTGGAAGCAGGAAGGCTACTTTTTTAGTGTTCATGAATGAACACTTTTTTAGTGTTCATGTGTCTTGTGACATTTTGGTTTATAGTTTGTTTTGGCAGCGGGAATCAAACTCACGACCTTGCACTTGCTAGGCAGGTACTGTGCTGCTGAGCAATATCCCCTATTGTGACATTTTGGAACCCTTAGGCTTTATCAAACTGTGTAACCTTAAATAATAATTTCCCCTTCTGGATATTTTTAAAGCCTCAACAAAATGTCTGTTTAACAGTTATAGTTTAATCTTCATTTTTAAAAAAAAATTTTTAAACTTGTCTTTCTTTTGCTCATCCTTGGTCAAGCCTCTCCTGCTTCATCCTCCCCACCCCCCAGTGCTAGGGATCAAGCCCAGGCATTGCTTGTGCTAGGTAAGTGCTCTAGCTCTGTGCTCTGCCCTCTGCCCAAGTCTTTGAACGTTTGTTCAGCTCTTACGCAGTTTTGCTTATTTTTAAAAGGAGAGGTTTTCTAAAATGTTGGGAGAGTAACAGGGCAAGAGATGATGTCTGTGTTATTTTCCAAAATGCATTCAAAACCTGTGCCATTGGACAAACGCACCAGGAAGATGATTCAGCGCTGGAGTGTGAGGACCGTGCCGCTCGCGTGGGCGACCATCCACACGCAGTTGTGGACGGTGGGGTGAGAAAGGATGCCCTTCAGGACTTTTCACAGGAGGATGCAGAGGAGTGTGACTTAAAATGAGAGTAGAGCCGGGGTTTTAGCTCAGCAGCATAAGGGCCTGGCTTGCAAGAGTGCGGTCCTAAGTTGGATCCCGGTAGAATCCAGCTGTAACACAGGGTGCACAAGGCCGACTGACTCCTACCCATCTTAATCAACTGGATCTCTAGTCGGAAAAAGAACGGCCCAAGAGTATTAAAATCAGGATTAGTTCTTATTTCCA